AACCAAAACCATCACAATTTTGAGTAAATAAGGGGGCAAGATAACACTTAACTCTTTGATAAATTACCGAAATAACTACATTATACTATAAACTAATAAGAAGTCAAGAACATAAACTGAATACCTTGCAAGACGAGGAGAGACGATGTTACTGGAGTGAAGGCGAGGAGGAGAGTGAGGAGCTGGGCCCCACCTGCCCGCCTCAACACCTCCCTCACACCCTCCTCATGGTCGCTGCCTCTCATAATACACCCCTTCTTTACCCCAGTATTTACACACTCACTCGTAATCCTCTAATAACCTTTATTTCCCTAAAGTTAACGTCGTATTAGTAGTTAATATATTTATTGTGGCACAACAGAACCTAACTACCGGTGAGAACGAGGCAAAGTGACCTTTATGGACCCGTAAGTGACACTCAGTGGCTTAGCACAGTCTTCCCACACACGCCCCAACACCCAGTGGGACAGGTGGTCCTTGGGTCGTTTAGTGGTTCCCTCCGCCTCAAGTTCTTATTCTCTCAGTAAATAATCTTACGTGTATCTGGACGGAGCCGCTTGGGCCAACTTTGGATGGGAGAATATTCCTTTGTATGTCACTGAAAGCATAATAAAATTAGATTAAGGAAAGATTAAGAAGATTAAGGAAAAAATATTCCTTTACCCCCCCCCACCCCCCACACATCAATTTCTTGTAAAGTGCAGATTGGCACATTTGTTTCTGTCGTAGTATTGGGTTAGAGTACGAGTGAATTGGCGTTTTGTAACGACGAGTTTCATTGGTCAAAACTCCACTCATTTGTTGACATAATTCTCTCTGCCATCCATCGACCAGGAGGCCTGGTCGACGACCGGGAGGCCTGGTCGACGACCGGGAGGCCTGGTCGACGACCGGGAGGGCTGGTCGACGACCGGGAGGCCTGGTCGACGACCGGGAGGCCTGGTCGACGACCGGGAGGCCTGGTCGACGACCGGGAGGCCTGGTCGACGACCGGGCCGCTGGGACGCTAAGCCCCGGAAGCACCTCAAGGTAACCTCAAGGTATCTATAGCAACATATAATGCGGCAACTAACAAAATAATACATTTAGAGTTGTGACCAAGGGAGATGGCCCTACACTTGTGCTTATCACTGTATTGACCTTTCATGTTAACGATATAACGTATGACAAAGTTAAGTATTGGCTGTTGAGGCAGAGACGAGGAGCTTCAACCCGTAGGATGGGTATGGGGTCTACTACCACCCGTAGGATGGGTATGGGGTCCACTACCACCCGTAGGATGGGTATGGGGTCCACTACCACCCGTAGGATGGGTATGGGGTCCACTACCACCCGTAGGATTGGTATGGGGTCCACTACCACCCATAGGATGGGTATGGGGTCCACTACCACCTGTAGGGTGGGTATGGGGTCCACTACCACCTGTAGGGTGGGTATGGGGTCCACTCTCACCCGTAGGGTGGGTATGGGGTCCACTACCACCCGTAGGATGGGTATGGGATCCACTACCACCCGTAGGATGGGTATGGGGTCCACTACCACCCGTAGGATGGGTATGGGATCCACTACCACCTGTAGGATGAGTATGGGGTCCACTACCACCCGTAGGATGGGTATGGGGTCCACTACCACCCGTAGGATGGGTATGGGCTCCACTACCACCCGTAGGATGGGTATGGGCTCCACTACCACCCGTAGGATGGGTATGGGCTCCACTACCACCCGTAGGATGGGTATGGGCTCCACTACCACCCGTAGGATGGGTATGGGCTCCACTACCACCCGTAGGATGGGTATGGGCTCCACTACCATCAGAGTAACAGCAGCCCAGAGTGTCTTCCAACTTCCCTCCCCCTATCGAGGCATGACTGCCAGAGTGACACCAGCCCAGAGTGAAGAGGGGCAGAACGGGAAGGGGAAAGGGGAGGGGGAAGGGGGAAGAGGAAGGGGGAAGGGGGACGGGTTGGGGGAAGGGTGAGGGTGTGTATTCAGCATTTTTCAAACACGCTGGAGAAACTGAGCGCGGCAATGAGCCATCGTTGTCACGGTGGCTGGCGACTAGCTTCTGTCTTTGTGCCCTTGTAATGTGGTTCTCCTTGAGAGCCCCGTCTACTGACAGCCCCGTCTACTGACAGCCCCGTCTACTGACAGCCCCGTCTACTGACAGCACCGTCACTACTGAGAAAAAGCCTATATTGAAATCTGAAAACTATTACACCCTTACTACACACTTTTATATATATAAGTTTTATATATAAGCGCTGCAAATTTCTTTGGTGTCGACAGGACAGTAAGTAATGATCTCTGGTGGTAACTGGACGCGCTCAAGATCCGGACATGTAACACGGGTTTTCTGCATGATAGACAGCCGTCTCTCAAGTGGGGCTGCCTTCCCTCGGATGGGGCTGCCTTCCCCCTGGGTGGAGCTGCCCTCCCCTGAGTAGGGCTTCCCTGGGTGGGGCTGTGGGGCTGCCCTCCCTCGGATGGGGCTGCTCTCCCCTGGGTGGGGGCTGCCCTCCCTCACTCACCGTGGGAACGGGCCTCACAATTTCCCGTCGTTCCTGTCCACTGCCTCTATAATAAATCAAAGAACGTCTTTACATCTAAAAGCTGTAATCCGTCACGTTCAAAGCACAAATGTTCTAAGTTATGCTCAAAATAACGTTCCGAAATCAATTACTTGAGATGAACGTAACCAAACACGACCCGAATTTGTGTTATGAGAGATGTGTGCGTGTCAGCGACAGAGTGAAGAGGCCAGAGATGTAGGGCGTGCATGACAGCCATGATGGCGGGTAGTGGAGACGACTGACGGACTGTTGGTCTGTCAACAAGGCCTCCCTCCCTCCTTCCCCCGTCCACCCGCACTGTTTATGCTGCTTACGGTAGTGGTTACGGAAGGTTGCGGCGGCGCGGCTCCTGGCGGAAGGTCTGCGGCGGAGGGGTTCCTGGAGGCTACACATCCCCACAGGCCTGAGAACCTGCGGCAATGTGTAATTTTCTCTGCAGCGCCGCGTACTCTTCCTTCTTTGAGTCTAGCTTCCTCCTCCACTGCCGTAGACGACGACTCCACCATGCCACCACCTGCAAATATGGACAAAAGCGCTTAAGTAACGTTTACCTCGTGCCAGGTAACTCCACTACGGGCTCACCATAGCCCGTGCTACTTGGAACTTTTTGTTCCAAGTGGCGATCTTAAACAACAACGGATTTTAGTCAACAAATTCAGCTTCCGTCGACAACACTCAGCACCTCGTCAGCTGTGTCTGACATGACAGCTAAACTTAAATCCTCTGTGCCAAATGATATTACACACGGGAGAAATATCAATGAATAAACTGGGAATTAATTTACAGGTAATATACGGGTTTTGGTTATGCACCATCGAACTCCATCCACCTGGCCTTCACACCAAGTTGTGGAGTTCCCTCTGGTTGATTGATGAAGCTACTGGAGATCTGTGGATGGATGGTTGTTCGCAGTTTATGGCCCCGAAGGAGGCTTATTCGCCAGGTAGCAACTTAATGTACAAGGCGACGCTTTATATCTGAAGACAATCGACTTGAGAATGGTCCAGGACGGACCCTTCACTTTCTAGTGTGTAGTTTGGTCAACATATTTCAGCCACGTTATTGTGACTCCTCGTCAGCACCTCAGAAGTTCGGTACCCTCAAGATTCTCGTCCTTTTCGAGGAATTCCATTTGTCTGTCTGACGTTCCATCTATTATCTTTATTTCATTATACTAAGGCAGTGACAAGGTTGCCAGGATAACCATAGACAAACACTAATCTATTACGTCGGTACACTCATCCTCCACTCAACACCTGCCTTGCTGTAGCCAAGGTTGTGGTTTTCACCTTTGCAACATTTAAACTTACTTTGGGGAGCCGGTCGGCCGAGCCGACAGCACGCTGGGCTTGTGATCCTGTGGTCCCGGGTTCGATTACGGGCGCCGGCGAGAAACAATGGGCAAAGTTTCTTTCACTCCCTGTTACCTAGCAGTAAAATAGGTACCTGGGTGTTAGTCAGCTGTCACGGGCTGCTTCCTGGGGGTGGAGGCCTGGACGAGGACCGGGTCGCGGGGACACTAAAGCCCCGAAATCACTCAAGATAACCTCAAGATTGAAGATACTCAAGGCCTACGTTAGTTTGAGTTATTAGGATCTTATACACACAGAAATCACAATAGCGTGATATATCAAATGAATAAATCCACAAGGGCCGTGATGAGGGTTCGAACTCTGTCGTTGAGGATCCGTGTGAGAGAAGTAGCAATCCCAGTTACAATTCTTGTACATGTCGTGGCTCAGTCGATTATAAGGTGCATCTGGGATCACCCTGGACGTAAGTTCGAACCATCATCACGGTCTTTGTGGATTTTATCATAGGATCTTATACCCGTAGTGATTCGTGACTTCACATTCCGTCTTGATGTCAGCACTCTGAGGAAAGCACCAAGCCATTACGACTATAACATTGGGAAGGGGTCAGGATAAAGATTTGGGATGGGACGAGGTGATGGAATGATGCCCAACCTCTTGGACTGTCGGGGGGATATATATATATATATATATATATATATATATATATATATATATATATATATATATATATATATATATATATATATATATATAAGCATTTATAAAGCATTTACAAAGCTGCCAACCACTATTAATAGAGAAAATTTAAAGCAAATAAATATACGTATATAAGTGAAATGCGAGTTAATTTACTTTACAGTTTCTCTATTATTAATAATAATAATATGATTGGCAGCTTCGTAAACACCTCGCATGAAGAACCTGTATATGCTGCTTTAAAGATAAATCCCTCAACAGTAATCTCCAGTTATAATCCCAGCGCCACAAATCCCCCAGCTGGCGGCGTTCCGTGACTAAACATCCAGGTTAATCCCGCTAGTTGAGTAGCCGGGTAGTGTGTGGCAACTGCGGGCCAGGCGCATGAGGGCGGGCGCAGTGCGACGTCGCTAGTGCGCGCAGAGGCCTCGTTGCGTGCGGCCGAGCAGTACTGCGCACCTCCGACCCCATCCCCCCACCACGACCCACCTCGTGCGCTGTTCTCTAACCGTGTGTGTGTAAAAACAAAAGCTAAACGGCGTTCGCGCCAGTAAGACGCGCCAGGCTGGACAATATATATATATTGGTGAGCGATCAGGTTTATGCTAGCAAACGGAAAGGTTATATATATGTACATAGGAGATGGAAGTGTCCCAGGCTGTGTGGTGCTCTGTGTTGCTGCCTCACCGGAGTAGTAACAATGGTGGAACACATCTCTCGCCCAGTTTTATGTTCTATTTCGATTGCTGTATTGCTATTGACTGTGTACTTGTGATCAATGCACTTCTTCACACTTCATTGTATTAACAAGAAGGTTAATACACTTCTCCTTCCACGGGGACTAACTGCTCCCTCCACGGAGACTAACTGCTCCTTTCACGGGGACTAACTACTCCCTCCACGGGGACTAACTGCTCCCTTCACGGGGACTAACTGCTCCCTTCACGGGGACTAACTGCTCCTTTCACGGGGACTAACTGCTCCCCTCCACGGGGACTAACTGCTCCCTCCACGGGGACTAACTGCTCCCTTTACGGAGACTAACTGCTCTTTTACAGGTTCCGTTAAATGAGAGGAAATGCCAGCACTGTGGAGAAATGCCCGATAGACCACTGGAACATTATCTAACACAGTGCACAGTTACTAACCAAGTCAGATTTCAGACGAGATTTAACAGAACAGAAGCTGTTAAACGCGGTGGACATAACCTTCCTGAAGCGAACATACGAGTCATAAATACTCGTTTACCGTCTATGTAAGATAGAAACGAGTAACACTAAGTGGACCGGTCAGAGGCTTAGACCCTCCTCAGACCCTAAACCTGCGCAGGACCCCTAAATAACTGACCCTAAACAAAAGAGCTGCGTCCTTCACTACTTTCATTTCGTCTAAACATATTGCTATCAGCATGGACACATTACCTTGTCAACGTAGTATAGTGACCGCCGTCTGCAGATCGCGCCAACAAGTTGACTAACAACAGTGACCCCGTCCCATCCCCTACGATGTGTGGGTACTGTGAGGGGTGACCTAACTATCCCCTTGATCACCTCCTCTCTAACCACCGTCACATTCTCTCATGTGGCAACTGTTGTCTAAATTGCCTGGAGTCCCGTCCCCTGACATAACTACTGCCTCTACCATCCACGGCTTGCGTTATCACCAGGTGTTTCACCATTCCTATTGCTCTCTCTCTCTCCTGTCATGGGTAACTATCAGCTACCCATGAGCCTGGGCATGAGCCTGGGCATGAGCCTGGGCATGAGCCTAGGCATGAGCCTGGGCATGAGCCTAGGCATGAGCCTGGGCATGAGCCTGGGCATGAGCCTAGGCATGAGCCTTGGCATGAGCCTGGGCATGAGCCTGGGCATGAGCCTAGGCATGAGACTGGGCATGAGTGACACCTATAGTAATAACGCCGGTTATAGTGACATCATTAATGGAGGCACTTTAACTGTGGCTTAACTTCCCACTACTGTTAAACTTTTTTTCCCCCACTTATGAAATACATCCGTCACTTCTCCTTTCCCCTCCTTCCTACCCTTCCCATCCCTTCCTTCAAGTAAATTTATTAAGATAATACATCTGAGAGAGATAGAGTAGCTTAGGTTATGTTTACTCTCTCCTCCCTCACTCTCCACCACTCTTCCCTCCCTCACTCTCCATCACCCTTCCCTCCCTCACTCTCCATCACCCTCCCCTCCCTCACTCTCCACCACTCTTCCCTCCCTCACTCTCCATCACCCTTCCCTCCCTCACTCTCCATCACCCTTCCCTCCCTCACTCTCCATCACCTGTAATTTCCTTCCAGAGAAAGATAGTTCTCAGTTAAATTATTTCATTAAAACCCATAAGTTCCCCTCTATAAAAACGCTCCTCATTAACAAGTGTTGTGGTCTTTAATGTACCTAAACCACTCACAACCCGGGCTGTAAGACCTTATCCTCTTTTACATGTCGAAATATTTCTACCCCCCTTAATTAGAAACTAATTACCTTTTTTGATGACTAAATAATCAGCGGTGTAAACAGCAAGTTAAAATAACTACGACGTGTTGTCTTCCACGTGGATAATAACAAGAGCCACGTGTGAATTATCCCTAGCGGCAAAGGGAGCGAGTGCTATGTGTGAAATATGACTTCTTTTAACTTGTAAAACAACAATCCCGTTGCCTGTGAAAGCTTTGTAAAATCTAAGAGCTAGAAAGATTATTCTGAGTGCTGTACCACAGTGTTCTGTCTTACACTACCTGGAGATGCCTCATGTGCTCATGAGAGCTGAACACCCAGGCTTAGTGAGGTGAGGACGTGTCCCATCACAGCCCGTCCACCAGTGTTGGACTGGTGAGGTGTCCCATCACAGCCCGTCCACAAGTGTTGGACTGGTGAGGTGCCCCATCACAGCCCGTCCACCGGTGTTGGACTGGTGAGGTGCCCCATCACAGCCCGTCCACCGGTGTTGGACTGGTGAGGTGCCCCATCACAGCCCGTCCAACGGTGTTGGACTGGTGAGGTGCCCCATCACAGCCCGTCCACCGGTGTTGGACTGGTGAGGTGCCCCCATCACAGCCCGTCCACCGGTGTTGGACTGGTGAGGTGCCCCCATCACAGCCCGTCCACCAGTGTTGGTGTACATGTACCACCAATTACAACCTAGCAAAACGAAGCCGTTTTTCCTGGCCGTCACGGCTGGCTGTCCCAGGGAGGGGACGGGATTCCATCCCACTACTGAGGCCCCTGGGACACTAGCTCCATCCCATCTTGGTAAGTATCATTCCTCCCTCCCACCCCTGATGGTAACGTCAATAACCTCTTCCCAGTGACAAGTTGCTGGCTTGTCTTTTGGTTATAAAATGTAGTTTTCCGCCATTGGTTGGCGTTCGAGTGTAGGCAAATGCTAATTAGTTTCTAATTAGATTCTTAGCACTTTGTCGAGATAAGAATAACGCGTCCAATATATTACAAATTTATGAAAATATGGAGTCAGTGGCGGACATGAGGAGGTACGATAATTATCGGAAGGTACTAAGTCACGGTGACTACGCAGCATCGCAGGAAATATGAGAACAAGGCGCTGGGATATGAGGACGGAGTGAAGGAATGATGCCCAACCCTTTGGACCATCGGGGAATCGAACGCCGATCCTGCAAATAGCGGGACCGTCGCTCTACCGATCAGTTCAGAAAGGATTAAACAATACACAACCATTCACGGACGTGTCATTAGTAGCGAACTCTAAAAATTTAGTATAATACTTGGTTACTTTCCCCTCAGTTTGTTAATACGAATGAAATGAAACTACAGAAAGGTGGACTTTTACATGATCATGAAGGTGTATAGACTAACACACAGAGATCACACTAACGTGATGCATCAAATGAACAAATCCACAAGGGCCGTGACGAGGATTCGAACCTGCGTCCGGGAGCATCCCAGACACTGCCTTAATCGACTGAGCTACGACAGGGTTAAAACCCCTTAATCGACTGAGCTACGACAGGGTTAAAACCCTGTCATCGCTCAGTCGATTAAGGCAGTGTCTGGGATGCTCCCGGACGCAGGTTCGAATCCTCGTCACGGCCCTTGTGGATTTGTTCATTGTATAGACTAACTCGTGCATAAATGTTTACCTTATCCTGGCACACCTCACATTTGTCACCTCTGCAACCGTACCTGTGGGGTGGATATCCATGATCTCATTGCATATGTCTGTACAAAAGGTGATGGAAGGGGGGGAGGGGGTGGGGGTGACAAGGTCCCGAGATGAGGTTTTGAGCAGCGTTGATGAGGCTTCAAGATGATTGAACACCGCAGATGATGCTTTAGGCAGCGTAGAACAACAAGGACATTCACCTCTCTATACGTTCGCGAGAAAGGAACTGCGTTCAGACGATTACTCAGTTACGTTCACATCCGAGGCAGGAGCGATGCTGGGAGAGGTCATACTCCCACCCACCAGCTCATCATACGACGCCTTTACATCCGTAGAATCATTGCCACGTCTCAAAGATGTACTATAACACTCTCAAGTGTGTGTAGGGTCATGGGGCTCGCGCCCTCTAGCGGCAGTCCTCGTTGTTGTTGTTTTAGATTCAGCTACTTAGAACAAAAGTTCCAAAGTAGCACGGGCTATGGTGAGCCCGTAGTGGACTTACCAGACACAGGAGCGGGGCTGTAACTCGGCCGTCCACCTTGTCAGCCGTAGTTATCCTCAACATTTGCAGTCATTGTTACCAGATTCCTTTCCATTTCAGGTTTTCAGATAATTTTTTGTCTGTTTCCCCTACTTTCCCACCCTTAAATGTGACATTAACCCCTTCCAATAGCTTTTACCAGGATGTTAAGAGTCCCATCCCCCTCTCTCAGGCCGCCAGTCTTTCCCCCTTCCACATCAGACATCCCCATTCCCTAAGCAGTTTTCCTTCACTCACCGGCATCCATTCCTCTTCCCCGTAAGGCTGCCCATCGCCTCTACCAGTCTTCCCCCTCCCCTCACAAGTCTCCCTCCCATCCCCCCCTCATTTCCATTGCATGAGATTCCATTTTACAGTTTGCCTTTGTGAGGCAGGAAGGGGCAAGGGACGGGTAAAGTCGGGAGGGGGGCACGGGACGGGTGCTCCTCCCGTCCCTAGTGGGGGAGGGAGGGGGGGAGGGGCGTGAAGCAGGGAGGGGCAAGGGATGTGAGGAGTTGAATAAATTGTTTGAAGACAAAGGGAGTTTGTATGGGTGTGCACAGATTATGTTTAGTGTGTCGAGGGCGTGGGTGTAGCGGAGAGGGCGTGGGTGTAGAGGAGAGAGCGTGGGTGTAGTGGAGAGGGCGTGGATGTAGGTGGGAGGGCGTGAGTGTAGGTGGGAGGGCGTGGGATTGCGTGTGCTGGAATGTGTGCCCGCCCCCGCCACTAACGGACTACCAGCGCCCTCCTGTCTGCCCGCGACATTTCCGCTATCTTTGTCGCAGCCCAGACGTCTCGGGGGGCCACTGTCGCAGCCCAGACGTCTCGGCGGCCCACTGTCGCAGCCCAGACGTCTCGGGGGCCCACTGTCGCAGCCCAGACGTCTCGGCGGCCCACTGTCGCAGCCCAGACGTCTCGGCGGCCCACTGTCGCAGCCCAGACGTCTCGGCGGCCCACTGTCGCACCCTAGACGTCTTGGCGGCCTCACTGTCGCAGCCCAGACGTCTTGGCGGCCCTATACCTTTAAACCCTAGCATGGAACAGATGGGGGAGGGGGGTGAGGCTGGTACAGAAACAGCTTCCAGGGACACATACCACGCAGGACAAGCACTAGTCACCCCGGACAACGTCTGAGCTGTGCCCCCCCCCTAGCGTTTTGACTTACCAAGTCAAAATACAAATTTGACTTACCAAGCCCCTGATAAGTCACTAACATTCTAACTGGTAAACTGGATTTTATACATAATAATATTGCATCCATTGGCCTAGTTTTGATTTGTTTAGGTTGCTAATAAGTCACAGTGACATAATATTCAGGGCAAAAACACTGCCCCCTAGGGGGCAAGTGCTTCTCTCCCCCCTTCAAGAAACACCTCACCCCCAAGCAACGGCTCACCCCCAAGCAACGGCTCACCCCCAAGCAACGGCTCACCCCCAAGCAACGGCTCACCCCCAAGCAACGGCTCACCCCAAGCAACGGCTCACCCCCAAGCAACGGCTCACCCCCAAGCAACGGCTCACCCCCAAGCAACGGCTCACCCTCAAGCAACGGCTCACCCCCAAGCAACACAGGAACCCGGCCTACAAAGCACGGATCACGAGGCTGGCCTCGGGTGATGTGGATCAGACAACAGTTAAGCGCTGCTCCACAATAAGGCACCGTGTCCAGGGTCTTAGCGGGCGGGCGGGAGGAGGGGGCGCCTTAATGCGATTAATGGGGGCTCCGCAGCGGTACAGTGAACGGATTCGTGACGCGAATACAGTATTTTATGGTCACAAAGAGGCTGGAGACTGAGCTGAAGCGCCGTTATGGAGCATCACGTGTCACCATAGTGATCTCTCACGTGTTTATCATCAATGTGAATTGTGGGGGATTTGGGTTAATTGTTTGTGTGTAAAGTGTGTGTTGTGTGTGAGGTGTAGTGTGTCGGGGTGTACCCGGATTAAGTCGTCATTTCTGGCACTGTCGACTGGGTCATTCTGTGGGTCAACTCGGGTTACGGTACCTGACAGCTGAATGGACAGCGCCTCGGATTCGTATTCCTGAGGTTCCGGGTTCGATTCCCGGTGGAGGCGGAAACAAATGGGCAGAGTTTCTTTCCGCCCTGATGCCACTGTTCACCAAGCAGTAAATAGATACCTGGAAGGTAGACAACTTCTTCCTGGGGGTGTGTAACAAAATGCCGGACCGGGCCGCGGGGACGCTAAGCCCCGAAATCATCTCAAGATAACCTCAAGATAACCTCAAGATAAGGTCATACCACGTCATACACGCCCTGAGCCCGGAGGTCAACCCATCATCACTCTCATCGTAATTTTCTCACACACGTTCCATCTGCTACGTCCGCTTCTCCTTCTCTATTCCACCTGTTATCTTCCTATTCCCGATTACATATCATTTCTCCCATTTTCTTTCTCTTTTCAGAGCACAAACTAAGCACGAGACGAGGTGCACCCTCGGTGTCATATTTTCCACCAAATATATATACACGAATCTACATATAAACCTGTGACTGGCGCAGCCTGCAACAGAGCATTCTATCGCCATCTATCTACTCTAGATAGATGGCCATAGATGAAGCTAGATAAGCGTTTCCTGGTAACTCTGCCGTTGATCTGTTTCTCAAGCTCCAAGTCTCTTGGCCTGTGCTTGTCCTTACCGTGTTCATTGCCAACATTTGTGTTTTTATCCAAGGTCAATTTCCCGCCAGGGATTTTGCGCGCGTCATGTCTGCTCTCTCTTCTTTTGTGCAGGTGTTTGGGGATGATGGGGAGATGGGGGGTTGGAGGCGAAGGGGAGTGAGTGGAGGGGTGAACGGGTGATGAGGGGGACGGGTAATGAGGAACGGGGAAGGGGTGAGGATGACCAACGGCCTAGTCCGGTAATATCTGCGTTACCATCAGCCACTAGAGAAGAAACTGGACTCTTGCGGGGGGAGGCGCGGTGTGTGTCAACGACCTCACCACGTCCAGGGGAAGCGTTCATGTCTGGGAGTCCTAGGCCACGGCCGCACCTTTATTTCCTTGGCGTGAGGGGGATGTAAACAAGAGCCCTTTGCCCCGGCTCCATAGGGAAGTGGGTTATGCCACAGCTCCATAGGGAAGTGGGTTATGCCACAGCTCCATATGGACGTGGGTTATGCCACGGCTCCATAGGGAGGTGGGTAGGATATATAGCAGAGCTGCACATTGCTACCCGTTTTGTTTCACAGCCCCGTTCCTGTGGCAGGTAAGTCCACTAAGGGTTTACCATAGCTCGTGCTACTTGTAACTTTTTGTTCAGAGTAGTTGAATCTAAAACAACAGCATTGCTACCTTCATTACTGGCAAGTGGGCGGGTGAGGGCAAGCCAGGTGAAGTGACTGGCGAGGTGACGCTGTGTGAGGGGGGAAGTGAGGGCCGCTGCCAATCACAGAGGTAGTAATATTTCTCAAATAGATGTGAATGATCGCTGAAGGATAGCAATTCCATCTCAACACCTGTCTTCCCCTCCCTCCCCCCTCTCTCTATTCTTCAGTCACGATCTTATATCCTCCCCACCACCATCCGTGAGCTTGTCTCCTCTCTCCGTGACCGTCTCTCTCCTCCCCA